AGAAGAAGAGAGGGGGGCAAGGTCGTGCGCGCGCGCGCGCGGGGAAGATGGCCAGCAAAATATGTGGGTCAATGAGGGGGAGTGGAGTGTCGGGCTGCCTGCCACGAACTCGGCGGCCCCTGGGAGCTGGCCTAACAATGAACACCTTTCCCCAAGTCAATTGGGCGTCCCCCCCCCCCCTGTCACACATATCTACCTACCGATTTTCTTTTGCCTTGCGAATTGCCATCAACCGATGACCCTCGATTTTGGGCCGGCCTTTTTGTTTTCATGCCCCCGCCCCCACACCCCGAGGAGCAAATCCCGATTTTGGGCCCCCCTCCTCCCCCACCTCGCGGCTCTGCCGTGGCCTCTGTTCCAACGGGCGAGGGGGCACCAATGCACATGGGCGCCCCGCTGCGCATTGTCCCCCGTCCGCATTGTCAGCCGACGAGAGAGAGATCGGCGAGAACAGCGAAACCGAAGAGAAGGGATGTTTTTTGTATTTGATCAAAAGAGGGACGGCTACCAGCACGGGGAGGTATGAAACAGATGGACGGATGCACGCGTGCGTGTGTGTGTGTGTGTGTGTGTGTGTGTATGTGGCGGGGGAGGGGATGGAGGCAGACAGGGGGAAGGTCCGTGGAAGTGAACTTCAGCGCCACAGGCCGACCCTCCACTCACCTACATGCCATATGTATCAGCAGCATGGGAAACGCACGCCTCGTCGAGGGGCGGCCGTGCACATGTATGTACATGAACCCAACCGCCCCCCCGCCCACCCCCTCACCCTCTGCCGGACGACTCCGGAAGGAGTGTGGAAGATGATGGTAGTAAAAGGACCGCCGACTCGAAGAGAAGAGAGACATCATGAGGAGGAGGGAGGTGGACCGACGGGGAGGGGAGAAGACGTGGGGAGGCGGAGACACGGGTCACCACAATCGCCCCGTCTGTCTGATGGAGGACAGGAGGGGGACTGGGCGCGCCCAGCGGAAGATGAGGACACTTACTTCTGGCGGGAGACCAGCTTGCTGGCGAGCTCATTGGCCAGGTCGGTCTGGAGCTTGGTATCAGCGCGGGGGCGGGTGGAGCGCAGATCATTGACAATGTCCATGGTCTTGCTGAAGTACACCTCATGCAGGGTGTTACGCATGGTGATCTCCATCTGCTCGATCATGCGACCGATGTGAACCAGGTGCGAGTCGAAGGTCTCAATCTGGGGGATAGTCAGCTCGGACTGACGGGTCAGGTTGCCAGACAGGTTGAGGGCGGCGCTGTCGGCGGTGGTGGAGTCCATGTTCAGGATGACCGTGGAGGTCAGGCGGTAGGTCGAGGGGGACTGGGGGTGCTCGGTGGCGACGTCGAAGACATGGATCGAGTCCCAGGAGCCGGACATCTTGGTGGAGCCCTCACCGGCTGTGTACATGTGCGTGGGTGCGGGTGCGGGTGCGGGTGCGGGTGTGGGGGTATTCGTGCGTGTCGGGTGGTCAGAACATGGACCGAGAGGGAGGCAAGGGGCAAGCAAAGGAGAAGGAGTGTGGCAGGGCGCTCTGATGGGGAATTGGACGCACTCTTCTTGATCAGGACAACACCAGCAAAGCCAGTGTCGAGGTCCCAGAGGTAGACGGAGGAAACACCACCCTCGAAGTAGCTATTTATCAGGGAGAAAGGGAGAAAGGGAGAGAGGGTGAGCGAGTGAGTGAGCGAAGTGGCGAGCGGGCGCAATGTAGGCAATCCGGCGACGCACAGGCTGCGGTAGGTGTCGAAGGCATCGTTGGCCAGGATCTCCAGGTTGCGGAGCTTGTCGCTGGGGTAGTTGGCATCCGGCAGGCTGGGCTGGAACTTGTTGGACCAGGGGGAGCTGTGAGGGGAGGGGCGAGGAGGTCAGCATTTGGTGGAAGACACGTCACGTCGGGGAGGGGAAGGTGGGAGGGATGGGATCCACTTACCGGTAGGAGTCGGCATCACGGTTGTAGTCGCAAAGGAGGAAGGTCTTGCCAGTGGTGTTGCAGACGCTGGTCTTGAGGGGCTGATCAACAGTGGACAGCAGGTCCTCAGTCAGATCGGGGACCAGGGTGATGAGCTTGAGGAGGTTCTGCTCGGTGTGCAGGGGCGGCAGGCGACGCATCAGGTCGAGAGCGCAGTCGAAGGAGTCGGCCTATTGGAGGAGGGGCGGTCGGCGGAGAGGGGATGGGGAGGGGGGGGAGACACAAAAAAGCAGAGCAAGAGCGTGAGCGGGGCAAGACGCAAGAGCGGCCAAAGGCGGACAGGGAGGAGGGGCGCAAAGATGACATACCATTTTGGATGTGGGTGTCTTGTGCCAGGAGAATGGGAAAGAACAGGCGGAGGGGGGGAAATGAGAAAAGTAGCGCGGCCTTGAGAGGAACAAGGAGGGAGGAGTTAGCCAGGACAAGAGCACGGAAAGGGGGGAGGAGGAGCAGGAGGAGGAGGAGGAGGAGGAAGGGCGGAAGTGCGTTCATGGCAATGTCACGGGTGCGAGTGAGCCGGAGAGAAAGAGACAGGCGGGGCGGCGGCCAGCGGTGGCAGGGGCAGAAAGGAGGGGGAGGAGCGGAGAGGGACAAGGCCGTGGAAGCGGGGGAGAGGAAAATGTCATGGGTGGAGGGGGGGGGGGGGGGGGCAATGTCACGGGTGCGAGTGAGCCGGAGAGAAAGAGACAGGCGGGGCGGCGGCCAGCGGTGGCAGGGGCAGAAAGGAGGGGGAGGAGCGGAGAGGGACAAGGCCG